CCCGGGATCGAGTCCCGCATCGGGCTCCCTGCTCGGCGGGGAGCCTGCTTCTCCCTCTGACCCTCCCCCCTCTCATGTGCTCTCTGTCTCTCTCATTCTCTCTGTCTCAAATAATAAATAAATAAAAATTTAAAAAAATAAAATAAAATACCACCTTCCTCAGGGCACCTGGGTGACTCAGTCAGCTAAGCACTTGCCTTTGGCTCAGGTCATCATCCCAGGGTCCTGGGATCGACCCCTGCGCCGGGCACCCTGTTCAGCAGGGAGTTCGCTGTTCCCTCTCCCTCTGCCCCTCCACCCCACTGGTGCTTGCTCTATCTCAAATAAATAAAATCTTTTTTAAAAAAATAAAATATCACCTTCCTCAGAAACAATTTCTAAAATGAGGTTGTTTGAGATGTGGATAGGGCAGTAGCTTCCTATTTTTTTTACAATCAGTAGGAGGCACAGTTGGGCTAATTTAATTTCCATCCAGAATCAGTCTTCCCCCTTGGTGCTATGTCCCTAACTGGGTTCCTCAGCATGTTATTTAACATGATGAAGTATCATACAGTTATGCTTAATAAGGTTCAGGGAAGAAGGATATTCACATTGAGTAGAATGTGTTCTGAGCCCTGTCTAAAACCTGAGCAGAGAGTCCCAGTTTTTTACCTTTAAGAATAAAAATTTAAGGGATGCCTGGGTGGCTCAGTCGGTTAAGCGTCTGCCTTTGGCTCAGGTCATGATCTCAGGGTCCTGGGATCGAGTCCTGCATCGGGCTCCCTGATCAGCAGGGAGCCTGCTTCACCCTCTGTCTGCCCCTCACCCTGCTTGTGTGCTTTCTCTCTCTCGCTCTGACAAATAAATAAAATCTTTAAAAAAAATAAATAAAAATTTAAAAACTCTTAACGCCAGGCAAATTTGAATATTGTATTCAAAACAGAACACTAACATTTTGATCATCACACTGATCATGTATTGTCTCTTATGGTATACCAATAGGGCAGAAATAAAATGGAATAAGTAGGCAAGATGGATGACTAGTTAGCCTGGAAGAGGCTAATCATTTCTCTAAGGGTGAGCACTGGATATCACTCTTTGGGTACATCCAGTCAGAGCCTTGAAGTAATTCCAGATATACCAGTCTGTTGACAACTGCCAAACTGCCTTCATTTGGCAACCCTAATAAGTTATGTGTCCCCAGCCATAGGATATGCATTGTTCACAGGGGAGAAAAAGTGTATTTGTGGCAGATATTTCCCTTAAGTGGTACTTTTATGTCTTCAGTGCTGCTCCTTTTAATAAAATTGTTTCTAAGCATGCTGGCAAGACCTTTGTAACACCTTGTTTTGCTGGACGTTAACCTTGAGTGTCAAAACACCTAAGTACCTTTGGGAGTTTTCACAGGATTATCACCTCTTCAAATGTCTCTGTAAGCCACAGTTCTGCTGGCATTGCTCTCTGTTCAGTAATGTGTCTCCCTAATGACTCCAGCTGTCAGCGTGTAATTCTGACAATATTGGTCCAGCCAAGCACAGAACTCTGCATCAGGGATCCCTGCTCTGGATCAAATTTCAGCCTGAATTCTCATCATTTAACCCTTGGACCACTTCATTGGACTCTTGACTACATTGCTTAGTTACCATGTAAGTTGTCTAGCATTGGTGCTAGGCACTGGCCCTTACCTTCTTCAGAGACCGTGATTCTGGTTGTACCTCAGATGTTCTCAGTTTCTATCTTCGGCTCAACACCCTGGCAATCCAGGTCTTGGAGCATACCCCTACACAGATGTGGCCTCCAACTGAGACTCTGTATTTTCTAAACATTCCTGTCTGACATTAAAAAGAGCAAATAGAACTAATTTGTCTACATCAAAAGTTCTGCAGAGAATTTTTCCTGTGTATTTGTTAAGGATGTTAGGCTTGGTGCCTCTTCGGTGAAAGTCATCGGGGATCGGCTCATCAAATATCCTAGCTGTAGACAAGTTTCTTATGTGGCTCAAGATGACTTCTATCTACGGTGCTAATTCCTTTGATAACCACTTGCTCCTTGGGTATGAGACAGCGCTAGCTCTAGGTGGGCCTCGCAAGTTAAGATTCCAGGCTGTGATTACCTCTGCACTAACACTTGAAGAACAGCCATCGGTTCTCAGGAAGTGCCACCTCTACCAACAGAAAAGTCATATCTGTGCTTGAGAAAATCATCATCGTGCTTCCTAGGGAGAAGCATGGACACTTACAAAATTTGGATCTGTGAGGTGTGATACCTCATTGCACTCCATATCCTACCAGCACCTAATGGCAAAATTCTGCACAAGTCTGTTGTTTCTCTTTCTCACGGTAACATGGAGCCATCGTGGTGGGGAATCAACATCACACAGCAGCCAGCCATTTTAGATAATATTTGTGGACAGTATCTGTGACAGAACAGAAGTACCAACAACTACTAAAGATTTTTTTTTCAGGAGCAGGGGAAAAAAAGAAAAGCTGGCCCTCCCAAGGAAAATATTCCAAAGAACAGAAAGGAGATGCTGACAAAAAAGGACAGAGGCCTTCCTCCCTGACATTCTGTAAAGCCAAGGCCAAAGAACACCATCCTGGGCTTGAGGTTTCATTCTCTGGAGGAAGAGAAGCTCAAAGTCCATCACAGACTTCCAAGATGATCATCTGTCAGTTCTTACTCTGTAGGCTCTCAAATGCCTAGTGCTCTGCACACCTCTTTAGTCCCCGGAAGAGAAGCTGTTCTACCAGAAGCACATCACTTACCATCTGAGCTATGGCTTTTCCCTTCACCCACCCTTCTCTTACCTCTCAAATGTTTCTAATGATATGACTATATTTCTCTCAAGGCAAAAAGCATTTGGCTTTTTTCCCCAGCTGAATAGATGAGAAATTTATAACAATTTTAGTAGTGTTTGTCATCTGCCTTCAGTTTGTGGACTCCAGTGCTGAAATTTATTTAACTGGTTCAGTTTAAAAGGTTCAGTTTCTTTTTAGCCTCTGGTGACGTGGTACCTGAGGGTACACTGCATTTGGTCTCCAGTAAAACACCTCTGGTGCCATGGGATGAGATTGTGAACCCTGTTATGCTCCAGAAACTTGGTTTTAACCCACTTGTTACCTAAGGTCAAGCATCTCATTCAGAGGCTTCCTCCTTGCGCACTCTGAATTCCTGTACCCTGTACCTCCCTTTTGTTAGCTGGTTCTTGTTTTGAGAAAGATGTTGGGGCCATCAGCAGGAGCCCTTTTGTTCTGAGGAGATCTTTGTTAGGGTCCTAAATTTACCCTAAAAGGTTTTTTGTTTTTGTCTCTAGAAGAACAGCTTCTGCCATACTGCTCATCTTTTGGAGAAAGGAGAAAAGCTTTGCCCTTTCATATTATTATCTTCTCTGTTCCTACTTCCACTATTTGTTTGGTTCTTTCCACCTTGTGAATATCATCTTTTCTACATTTTACCCAGAAGGCAATTGAGGGAATTAGTAGTTTTGTTGCATAAGGACTTTAGATTTATTGAGGGAAAGGGAGTGATTGCCTTCTCACACTGGAAGCATGAACCTAGACTTTGGGATTCTAGGGTTATGGTCAGCCTCCAGGGATGGACTCTGACAGGTAAGTAAGATATTTCAGTGGATTCAAAAGAATGAGAACAATATGGCATTTTTAATTATCCTAAGGCTGTGAATAATGTGCTGTGACTCGGTGTTCTTAGCCGTATCCCTGCCCCTCATTTCCACAACCCGAAGGCTTTGTGTGTGGTCTGTGGTTTATCAGGCTCATGGTATCTCTTATCCCTGATTGCCAAGAACACTTGAAATCTGATTCTACCTCTAATGACTACTTCTAACTGCCCCCCAAGGCAGGATTATCTGCTAATCATTAATCCAAAAATACCTAACAGTTGTCTCTTCCCAAAGGATCCTGAGTGTTTTCCCACATTATATACTCTATCAGATGTTACACATGTGAGGAAGATTATATGACATAATAAGAAACAAAGTAAGAATCTTGGTTAGTCTGCACTTTAATAGGAAAAATGTTTAGCGCCTCCTCATTTAAACTCCCTGGTCTCCCATGTTTGCTCCCACAAATCAAGAGTACTTGTGAGCCTTAAAATATATGACAAGGACTTTTCATAGATGCAGAATTGACATTTAAGTTATTTTTGCTGTGCTCATGTGAATGAAGTAAAATTGAGGCTTGTTACCAGGCTTGATGGCATCGTGATGGCTGCCTAATATGTTTAATCACGGTAGATGACAAAAGTTTAAACAAAACATGACGCCTGCTCATAAGAGGCTTACAGTTGAGTTGAATAATTAGATTCATTAAACATTTACTGAACTCCATGCTGTTGTCCTAGGGATCCAGAGATTTCAGGAGAGCTTACTCTTCAGTAGAGAAGCGATGTAAACAGATAAAATTACAGAACCGTGTGATAAGTGCAGTGATAGAAATACATACAACATAAGTCATGGAGCATCTGCTGCATGCCAGACATTATAAACCTACATAGTGGGTTTATAGTGGAGAGTCAAACTGACAATCCTTGTCCTCATGGACTCACAGTTTAGTAGAGCAGACAGATGTTACACAAGTAAATAGATATGTCACATTGTGATAAATGACAAAAACAGTGCTATGAGAAAATGTGGCCAGGATTTAAGGGCAGAAAATAAACTTTCAGACTATGAGAATCAGGGGTAAGAGACACATGTTATGCTGAGACATAGAGAATGAGTATGGATCTGTTCTTGCTGCTCAAGTAGAGGCATCAGGAAAAACCTTGGCTAGTTACAGCTGAAAGGCCAGTGTGGCAAGATAGTGGTGAACTCCGGAGGGGAGTGGGTAAGGTTGGAGAAGATAGCCAAGACCACGCAGCACCTGACTAACCTTACTGGAGATTTTGGTTTGAATTCCGAATACTGTGGGAAACCAGTGAAAGGTTTTTACATATTTGAAAAATCACTCTAGAATAATATGGAGAAAGATTAGAAAAGAGGCAAGAGCAGAAATGGGGAAGTCTTTCCCCATGGTAGAAGTCTCTTGCTCAGGTTTTAGGGAAAGGTCATTGTGGGTTGGCCTTCAGCAGTACTAACGGAAATAAACATGGACAGAGTTGATACTAGTTTCAGAGAAAGAATAGAATTTGGAAATGTGATTGGAAGAGCGGTTGGGGCTTTGGAAAAGATGACATTCAGTTTCCTGGCTTGAGTAACTGAGTAGGTAGGTGTGCCATTTATTGAGATGGAAAGGACTGGAGGAGGAGCATATTTGTTGGGGAAGTTCAAGAGTTCAGGGCAGTTCAGAGGTGGTAATCCTTAAAGTAGGTCAAACAAGAAACTGTTGTGAAAAGGTAAATATCAGATAGAGAAGAGTAATAGAAATAGTAAGTGTTCTAAGAGTTGAGCAGCAGGAAAGATCAACAGTTATTAGGGAGATTAGACTTCTCTAATCTTGGAAGATTTGGGACATGAACTTTCCTGTGAGGATTGGGTGATACTTGCATTAGTGCAGGAAAAACATTCCAGGTTGAAAAACCATGTGAACAGAAATCCTGAAGCAGATAGCATTGTGTGAGTTAAGTCATAAGAACAGAACGGACTAGGTTGAATCAGGAAATGGGGGAGCAATAACAGTTGGGAAGGGTCCAGATTTGTTAGGGAGGGGTACCTAGAAGTGTGATTGTCAAGCTGCGGTTGGTAACAGGTGGAAATTTGAATGGTTAATCTGATGTTTATGTGTTGAATGAATTGAAATCTGGAAGATTGGTTTTTGGTTTGGTTTGGTTTGGTTTGTTTTGTTTTGTTTTGGAAACTTGTTGATACCAAGCAAAAGGGTTTGGATTAAACTTTGAATCCAGTAGGAATGAAAAAGAAAAGTGAACAGGATTCAAGTGACTTAATGGGGAAAGGAAAGGAAGAATTGTTAACTTTCAAGAACTTAAACCTTGGTAACTAGGAAGATGATTTTTGGCAGAAGTGAAAAAGTCGGGAATGGGATTAAGAAGTGGGTTGAGTAACAAGTTTAAAGAGTGGGGTGGAATGTCTCATGAAAAGTATTGTATGAGAGCAGCCCAAACTTATCTGTGACTTCAAACACTGTTCAAAAAAAAAAAAAAAAGGAACCTGGTTCTGCCCTGAACTCAGATTGAGAGAGACCACTACTCAATAACTATGTTGAGAAGACAGAGAAGCTGAGTGTTCTTATACTTTACTGTGTGTGTCATATTGTACTTTTTCTTTTTTTCCCTTAATTTGATTATCCTGCTCGATATTTTAAGTGAGGTTTTCTGTACTTCAGGAACAACTACTTGGACCACTGTTACTTTGTATGAGATTGTGCATTTGCTCCTTTTTTATTTCATGAGTCTTGCCCCTTACTATGTCCCTCCAACTTTCCCCCCTTTTAAAATCTTTTTCAAACATGTCTGGTGGGAAAAAAACAGGTTCTAGGGGAAAGATGCTTCCACTTTGAAAACCTGTGGAGATTAAGATGATAGCGTGGCATGTGTAAAGAATACCGAATTACTCCCTGACAAATACTGTGACCCCAGTCAAAATCTTTGGCTTTGGGTCATACATTCTTCTTTTGATGTCCTAATCTTTTGGGATCCTGAAGCCTACTAGTCTTTATTTGCTGACCAGATGGGTGACTCTCTTTAAAATTTTAGTCATGTTCTCACTGTTTGGCTGCCGTGTTTTAGAGAAAAATGCTTGGAGAGGGTGGGGACTTCCTCCAATAAAGAGCTGAAGGGTTGGCTACCTTCAATTTCTTTGTCTTAGCTCCTCCTTGCTACCTCCCACAGAGATCCATATGGCTTTGGAGATGGTCGAGATACAAGACGTGATAGATCCCCAATCCGAGGAAGTCCAAGGAGAGAGCCCAGGGATGGCAGAAATGGCCGTGATGCCCGTGATAGCAGAGCCATGCGAGACCCCCGAGACTTGCGGGACCACAGAGATAGCAGAGACATTCGGGATCACAGAGACAGCAGAAGTATGCGTGATGCTCGGGACATGAGAGACCTTAGAGACTTTCGTGATCTAAGAGACTCTAGGGATTTTCGAGATCACCGGGACCCCATGTACGACAGATACAGAGATATGAGAGACTCCCGAGAGCCCATGTACAGGTACATATACAGCCATTTGCTTGGATTTTGTTGTTGTTGTTTTTAATAACAGTCTTTTATGGGTATTCTGCTGAACTGATTGAAAGCTCTGTAAGGGCAGTGACTTTATCAGCCTTATATTTCCAATGTCTAGCAAGTGGCAGATGTGCTACTCAATAAATATTTGCTGAATGTGTGAATGATGAATTATGCTTAGCGAATGAATCTGGATCTTTCCATGTGACCTGTGAAAGGCAGCATTGTGCAAATGGAAAAAAAAAAAAGATGGAGCTCAAATTGTTTTGGCAGTGCAGAAACACAGGGAAAATGTACACGTGGCTAGTAGGTCTGGGGAAAAAACACTCGGCATCATTAGTCAAAAGGGAAATGCAAATCAAAGCCACAACAGGCTACCCCTTCATACCTGCTAGGTTGGCTATATCATTTATTAAGGAAAACAACAAAAGAAAGTAATATTGGCAAGGTGTGGAGAGATAGAACCCTCATGCATTGTTGGCGGGCATATAAAATAGTGTGGCTGCTGTGGAGAATGGTTGGAAGGAGGTTCCTCAAAACATTAAATACAGCAGAATTACTCGGACCCATCAATTCCACTCCTGGGTACATACCCAAGAGAACTGAAAAGAAGGACTCAAAGAGATACTTGTATGTAGCATAGCAGCACTCTCCGCAGTAGCTGAAAGGTGGACAAAACCCAAATGTCCATCAAAAGATGAATGAGTAAAAAAAGTGATATATCCATACAGTGAACTATTATTCAGCCATAAAATGGAAAGTAATACACCTGCTACAACAAGGATGGACTTTGAAAACATAATGCTAAATGAAATAATCCAGATGATACAAAAGAACAAATACTGTATGATTCCACTGACATGAACAGAGAAGGCAAATTCTTATGAGACAGAAAATAGATTAGCGGTTACAGGGATGGGAAGTGAAGAGTTCCTGCTTAATGGATACAGAGTTTCTGTTCTGGGTGTTCTCAAGGTGATGAGAAATGTATCTGTGTATTTATATGAAATATATATATGGATGTGTGTATGTATTTTAAACCATAGTTTTTAAAAAACACAGGCAAGGGGGATGGGGAAGCATCAAAATTAATATCAGTAGTTACTATCAATTATTTTGCATTTACTTTAAGCCAGGGACTATTCTGAGAGCTTTCTGTACATCCTCCCAGTCATTTTGCAAAGTAGGTTAACATAGTCTTGGCCACAGAGCAATAAGCGGTGAATCTCAGACACACACCTCGTTTGTCTAATCCCAAAGTCCTGCCTTACTGTGCTGCTTCCTCACAGGAGTGGGTGTTTAAAATTCTCTATATCTGAGTTTTGCAGCATAGGTGACTTTTAACTTTGTGCAAATTTCTTCCACTTTTCAGGAGAGAAAGCTCTTATGACCGATACCTGCGAATGGATGACTATTGCAGGAGGAAGGACGATGCTTATTTTGACCGCTATAGAGATAGCTTTGATGGACGAGGCCCTCCAGGCCCAGAAAGTCAGTCTCGTGCAAAAGGTAAAGCAGTAGTTTATTTCTGTTACTGGTGAAGCACTCGACAAATGAAAGAGGAAACGAATAACCAACTAGAAAGGGACTAATGTCTTGGTGAAGTAATCCACAAAAAGAAGAAATACAAATATCCTGCTAATATGTAGGGAACATTCAGCTTCAAAATAATTTATAAAATGCAAATTAGTACCATCATCAGGTTTAGTCATGTAACAAGAAGAAGTGAATATGAGATTCCAGCAGTAAGAAATGAACAAAAAGTTGGAGCTAAAGAGGGTTAAGTGCTTACTTTTTGCCAATTAACAAAATAACTACAGCTGTTTGCACTGTCTGTGCATCATGTGGGTTTTTTTGTTTTATATGTAATTCTTACCTAACAGCATCTCTTATTTAGGTAAAGACAAATATGTTTTTTCAAAGCCTCATTTTTCTCAATACATCTTTAAAGATTTTTTAATTATTTCATAGTTGAATTAACCTTATTTTTAATCTGTAATAAAACTTTACTGCATGATTTTTTTTTCCAGAACAAATTACAAATACCTGTCAATAAGGGTCTTAAATAGTTGTCGCCAAAATGCAAATAAGAATAACAACAGAATACCATCTTTTTTTTTTTTTTAAGATTTTTATTTATTTATTTGACAGAGAGAGAGGGAGAGAGCACAAGCAGGCAGAGGGAGAGGGAGAAGCAGGCTCCCTGAGGAGCAGGGAGCACAATGCGGGGCTCAATCCCAGGACCCTGGGATCATGACCTGAGCCGAAGGCAGTCTCCCAACCAGCTGAGCCACCCAGGTGCCCCAGAATACCGTCTTTTACCATGTTGGCAGGAATTTTCAAAAATGACAATACCCAATGTTGACTAAGATGTGGAGAAATAGCACTTGGTGATCCACCGAAGGGATAAGTTAGTAACAACCTCTTTAGAGTAGCAGCCTTGGTGTAGTATGTATCAGATGACACATTAAAGTGACCATGCCCTCTAATCCAACTATTCCATTTCAGTGAATGTATAATAGTAAGAAACAATTGTACTGGCTATTTTTAGGAGGTAGTCCAGAAGAGTAATTCAGAGAGAGAGTATGTGTATGTTATCACCTTGGCCTACAAGTAGTTTGGGATTCACAATAAGGCCTCTGACTTATTTTTATAGAAAGTCACAGTCCATATTTCAGTTTTCCTTGTTGGTGTCTTACAGAGCGTTTGAAACGTGAGGAACGGCGTAGAGAAGAACTTTATCGTCAATATTTTGAGGAAATCCAGAGACGTTTTGATGCCGAGAGGCCTGTTGATTGTTCTGTGATTGTGGTCAACAAGCAGACTAAGTAAGAATCCTTTGGGCTATTTCTCCTGAGTAAGGAGAAAGGTCAGAAGAGAAATTAAGACTTCCTTTGGCAGCTGTACCCACTGAATTTGGGCTGTGTACTCTAGCATTGCTCTCCTGTGTTTAGCTAGAGTTCTGTCAGTTGTAGCTTACAGAAAAGCCATTGCAAATTGGCTTAGGCCCCAAAGGGAGATTTTTAGTTTGCTTGGCTTGGAACTTTGGGTATGGCCACATCTGGTCAAACCATGTCATCAAGACTTGGTCTCTGTGTCACCTTCATGCTCAGACATGCTCAGACATGCTTGAAAAGGCAGAAGGGCACTCACCCTAGACATTTATCTTCTTTTTTTTTTTTTTTAATTTAACAGAGACACAGTGAGAGAGGGAACACAAGCAGGGGGAGGGGAAGTGGGAGAGGGAGAAGCAGGCTTCCCGCCGAGCAGGGAGCCCGATGCGGGGCTCAATCCCAGGACCCTGGGATCATGACCTGAGCCAAAGGCAGGTGCTTAACTACTGAGCCACCCAAGCGCCCCTAGACATTTATCTTCTTAGCAGAAACTTCTTCCCCAGTGCTTCTACCTAAAGGCCTGGAACTGTTTCTCATTGGACTGACCTAGCTCACTCTCCCATCCTTGAACCAGCAGTGCTGGGATGCCTTGATGGATTAGGGCTAGGTTATGTACCCATTCCTAGAGCTAAAGGTGGAATTAGGCCTGTGGAATCATGTGGACTGAGTAGAAGGGTGCTTTCTCAAAGGAAAATTGAAGAGGGAATATATGTTGGTCATGCAAAGCGGTAGATGCTCCCTTCATGAAAAAACTCTGAATCCCCAGTGCTTTGAGAGGTGCATGTCTCTGCATTTGTCAGCCAAGCCTTCTTTGTGAAGGACCTTTGTGAAGGTCCATGATCTTGCAGAACTGTTAAGAGACCATTCTGGCCAATCCAAAGTTCACAGTACCTTTTTTTTTTAAGATTTTATTTATTTATTTGACAGAGAGAGAGAACACAGGTAGGCAGAACAGCAGGCAGAGGGAGAGGGAGAAGCAGACTCCCCGCTGAGCAAGGAGCCCGATGTGGGGCTCGATCCCAGGACCCTGGGATCATGACCTGAGCCGAAGGCAGACGCTTAACGACTGAGCCACCCAGGCGCCCCCACAGTACCTTTTCGCACGCCTCTTTTTCACATTCTTTCCTGAAGAGACTGAGCGGGGAGGCGGAAGGGAGCATAGCAGCTTGCAGGCTTTGGCACTAGCTATGTTCCCTTTCCCCAGGTGGTTAGTAAATAACTTCATGTGTTTTCCAGCAGTTTGGGGTTAAAGAACTAATTTCAAGGCAGAGACTAGGGAAATAGGTGTTGAGACACGAAGCAGCAGGCAGAGTTCCCAGGCTCTGGGCTGCCTTGTTTAGAGATAGATGCTGCTTTGACTGTAGATAGCTTTTTTTTTTCTTGACACATAATAATAGCTGTCATTTTCTGAACACCTACTCTACCACCCCTTGCTAGGTGCTTTATTTAAATTATTTTTAATCTTCACACTCGTCATGTTACATGGATATTCATTCAGTTCAACTCTTATATGTATGGCGAAGCTATAATGGTAAATAAGCACGCACACAGGGCCCCTTCGCCTTCTGGAGCTCACATCCCGGTCAGGCAGATGACAAAATGGATGTATTGGTGATGAGCCCTAGGAGAAGAAATACATCAAGGATTTAATTTAGATTGGAGAGAAGGTCAAGGAAATGACATGAACCGAGCCATATTGTTCCTGTTTTATTGGTAAAGAAACAAGTCTGTAAGAGGTTAAGGAATTTGCTTAAATCTTCACAACTTTGTAAGTAAATGATAAGGCTGGGATCCAAACTTACCTCTGTAGCATTAAAGCCCATGTTTTTTTTCCATTATATTATGCAGCCACCCCAAAGACAGACACATCCCACAAGTCTTAGGCAGCAGGATGGTGTTTCAGGAAGGACCACTGGACTACAGGACCAAGAGGAGGACCTGGGTGCTAAGGACTGCGCTGTTGGCCACTTGCGTGTGGCCATTCTGAGCTAGTCATAACCATTCGGAACTAGATTAGTATAAGAGAAGGAATTGGTCTAGATTCTTGGAGCCTGAAGAGGGCACTAGGGAGACACTGGGTACGCTAAGATTTGAACTCCCCTTAGGAGCCCACACTGCTGGCTGAAGTGCAGCAATGTACAGACTGGGAGTTGGTCAGCGAGTACTCACCTGGATCCTCTTTGTTTCTACAGAGATTATGCTGAATCTGTGGGGCGGAAGGTACGAGACCTAGGCATGGTAGTGGACTTGATCTTCCTCAACACAGAGGTGTCCCTGTCACAAGCCTTGGAGGATGTTAGCAGGGGTGGGTCTCCTTTTGCTATCGTCATCACCCAGCAACACCAGATTCACCGCTCCTGCACAGTCAACATCATGTTTGGAACCCCACAAGGTAGGAGGCCCAAGTGGGTCAGATTTCCAGGGGTAGTCACTAGTCCATTAATTCTTTCGTGTCTTACTCAGAAGAAGCAGGTTTGGAGCAAATGACTTGTAGGTCAGCTCACATGTGGCAGGGCCCTTTTATAAACACACTGGAGGAGACTTGCACGGTCACATTCTCCTCTGATACTCTTTCAGTGGATACAGTTCTGGGCCTGCTATCTAGAAAACATATTTATTTAGCCCGTAGGTAGAGACAGTGGGATGCTGGCAAATGTTTAACAACTCGTTCTGGGGAGGGGGCAGGAGGCAGTGTGGTTCACAGCATTTGCTGATCTCCATGGTGTAAATGCTCCCACCATGTCCCGTTTCAAGCCACCGACAGGAAGTCACTTCAGAAGAGAGGTGCACCGTCGGCACTCGCCCGTGAGAGCAGGTGCTGCGCATCTCTGGCGCACGCGGCACTGAGTGCAGTAGAATCCTTGCTTTCACCAGACTTCGTAATAAGGGACAGAGAACACAACAGGCGATGAGGATACTATCTGCGAGTGTGCTGGAGAAGTAGAAGGGGCAGGAGAGCAGGGAGGAGGCCCTGGAAGTCCTTGAAGCCCTTCCCTGAGGTCGCTTTCAGTACTTCGCACTCAGAATGCCCTGATGCCCTGGTCATTGCTCCTCCAGTGCGGACTTTTCCCTTTTCCCACCACACACGGAATCTCTTTGCCTGACAGGTTATACCCATAACCATAAAATACGTAAGGCTTTCCACTAAGTCATTTGGTCATTTGTCTCTCTGAGGAATAGTTCTCAAGATGTGTGAGGACATTTATGTAAAGTTGTAAGACTTCTCACCACCCTATAAGTCATGTTGCCCGCGGGTGAGGAGAGGAGGTTATGGTTACATTTGATCTTTATCCGTGACCTTTGAACTGATGAATTCAAAAACAGTAGGCCAGCTCTATCTTGAGCATCACAGTGGAGAGCCAGGCTTTACAGAAGGCCTTTTTTGGCCCCCTGCGGCCAGCCTCCCATGGTAATTCCCTATGTGGTCTTTTTGAATCTGTGGGAGACTGTTGTGTTTCTTTGATTTTTGCTACAAGTCTGTGATCTAGGAATTCCCCCAAAGAACCAGCTCTGTGAAAGGTATGTGTTCCCCACCAAAGAAATCTATTCACTTATCTTCCCAGCTTTAATTTCCCTTCTCCCTGCTCCCCATCCCAAGGCTTTTTGTCACCAAGATGGTTTTCTTGCTGGTTTGAGGTTAGGAAAGGGCTGGTAGAGCCCAGCAGTTGGGCACTCAGGTGTGTTAGGGGAGAAAATGACTCCTATCATTCTCTCCTACAGAGCATCGCAACATGCCCCAGGCAGACGCCATGGTGCTGGTGGCCAGAAATTATGAGCGCTACAAGAATGAGTGTCGGGAGAAGGAACGTGAGGAGATTGCCAGACAGGCAGCCAAGATGGCCGATGAAGCCATCTTGCAAGAAAGGGAGCGTGGAGGCCCCGAGGAAGGAGTGCGCGGGGGGCACCCCCCGGCCATCCAAAGCCTCCTCAACCTACTGGCAGATAATAGGTACCTCACTGCCGAGGAGACTGACAAGATTATCAACTACCTGCGAGAGCGGAAGGAGCGCCTTATGAGGAGCAGCACCGACTCTCTGCCTGGTGAGCTACGTGGCAGGGCCGAGGTGAAGTTCTGACTCTGCATTTCTCTAACCCCCAGGCTCTGTTGGGAGGGTAGCAGGCCCAGGCTCTTTGGGGTGGGTAAGGGGAATGAGCCCATGCCCTGGGTTCTCCCACGGGCCGTCCTTGCTGATGTAATGATAACTTAAGATTTGGGTACTGAATTCCAGTCCCTGTAGTGAACGTGGTGATGGGTGGACTAGGATTGCTGGCCACCTGCTAACCAAGATGGATGCCCTTTTGTCCTTAAGTCCACTGGGACCCCTAAGCTGTTTCCTGGAGACAGCACATACCATGAAGAAGCCCCTTGGGGAAATTGATGTTATAGTCTGTGTATTATGTGATTGATGTGATCAGTGATTGTTGTTCTTCCCTGGCTGCTAAGCCGCCTGCCCACGGAGGGTACTTTCAACTGGATACCTCCTCCTTCTGTCTTTTAGGCCCGATTTCCCGCCAACCACTCGGGGCGACCTCGGGTGCCTCGCTGAAGACACAGCCAAGCTCCCAACCGCTCCAGAGCGGCCAAGTGCTCCCCTCTGCTACACCCAGTCCAGCTGCACCCCCCACCTCCCAGCAAGAGCTTCAGGCCAAAATCCTCAGCCTCTTCAATAGTGGCACGGTTGTGGCCAATAGCAGCTCTGCATCCCCCTCCGTCGTTGCCGGAAACACCCAGAACCAGAATTTTTCCACAGCAGCGAACAGCCAGCCTCAGCAAAGATCACAGGCCTCTGGCAATCAGCCTCCAAACATTTTGGGACAGGCGGGATCTGCTCGGAACATGGGCCCCAGGCCTGGGGCTCCTTCCCAAGGGCTCTTTGGCCAACCTTCCAGTCGCCTAGCACCTGCCAGCAACATGGCTAGCCAGAGGCCCGTGTCTTCCACGGGTATCAACTTTGACAATCCAAGTGTACAGAAGGCTCTGGACACCCTGATCCAGAGTGGCCCTGCTCTCTCCCACCTGGTTAGCCAAACCGCAGCACAGGTGGGGCGGCCCCAGGCCCCGATGGGATCTTACCAGAGGCATTACTGAGGCTCAGTCTCTCAACTACCCCTCCCCCCCGTCCCCTCATCCCCTGGCCTCCCACCAACTGCGTTCAAATAGAGTTATTTGGAGGATGTTCTCTGCGCCTCTCCAGGTCTACATCGAATGTTTCTACCACCTGCTCTCTCTTCTGCCCGAGGCTGTGTTGCTTACTCCTTCCAGAGTCAGAGTTTATACTGCATTTGGGGGTGTATCTTTTTTTGTTGTTTTTGTTTTTTGTTTTGTAGAAAATAAATACATCTGGGGTCACTTGGGCAGTATAGGTGTCTGGGCTCAGTTTATATGTCATGGGTTTCTCTGGTCTCTGTCCGCTGGATTTGGGGTGGGGGGTGGGCAGGAGGAAGCCAAGCCCGATTGGCTGAGTTTGGAACAGCACTTTCATGTCAGTCGCCACCGCCTTTGTTCATTTTGAATCTACCAAGGTTTTCCAGCTTCGCCCAGGCCGACCAGAGCTCAAGTTCCTGTCTGCAGCTCCTGCCTAGGGTTGCAGAGGACCAGTCTGGGCTTGGCCAGCACAGTGCCGTCGTCGTGCCCCCTCGCACGTGTATGGGGTCTGCTTGAGGATTCATAGATCAGCTGCTCTGGAGTTGGGAAGTGGCCATGGCAGCCACAGAAGCAGGCACTCTTCTGCATCATCCAGGGTTGTTGGTTTAGGGTTTTCTTTTTTCCTCTTTTTTTTTCTTCATTTCATTGGAGGATCTCCAATGGGCTGAACAGCTCCAGTCACCAGCAGTTCAACAAGAACTGTGAAATTGGACCCTGACCACTCTTCCCCCACCGCCCCCTTAACATTTCTGTCAGCCTCTCCCTCTCTAGTGCTAGTTTCACGGAGACTCTGAGAAGGCAGCTCTAGACTCCGGCAGGGAACACCCGTTTTTTTTCAGTGATTGTTTTGAGCTTTTGGCTCAGAAATCAGGTTCTTATTTTTCATCTGGATTCTTGTTCTGTTTTCTGAGCAGCAGGAGGTAGGGACCATTTTGATGTCAGACTTTTGGTAGCTGGACATGTCCTTGATACCGGTGGCTGTTCATAACTTTTGAGCCAGAGTGAAATTACGAGAGGGCGGACTTCTGGCTGCCGCTCTTAATGGAGTCCAGGGAAGCTGCCCTCTCCCCAGGGATGCGCTCATTAGAGCCCTGTGGAGCACAGTCGCAAGGGGCCCCTGGTGGGGATGAGGGAGAGCGGGGACATCAGCTGAGTCCCTGCCAGTGGCTGAGCAAGCGATTTCAAAAATTCAAGGTCCCCAGGTGGCAGCGTTTTGTGTTCTGACCTGTTTGTGTTATAGAGTGTTTTTTTCCTCTTTGGAATTCTGTGTTGTTAATAAGATGAGATGATTACTTTTTAATTAAAATGAAAAAGTAAAACCTGTTGTTGTCTTTTTGGGGCATTCTGTCTGCAGGGGCATTCCCTCCCAAGGTCAGAAGGGGAGGGTCCCTGATGGAGCCCTCACTGCTTTCGGTCTGCCGTGAGGTCTGCCCCCTCTTGTCCTCCTTTGGTCAGGCCTGAAGACCTTCTAACCCTAGGCTCTCCTCGTGCATCCCACCTACTTAGAGAAGCTTTAATAACAGTCCAGAGCTAAAGCCTACTGGCTAATGACGATGCTGTGTTAAACATCCTTGTTTGTGGTAGACTTTCAGTGTGGCAGGAGGCTTGTCCTCTTAACTCTAGGAAAGGAAAACAGGACCCTGAAGAGGCCATTGCTGGCCAGTGGAGTGGGGCACTCTTTCAATTTCGTCTCAGTTGCCACCTTCTGTTCTGCCCATTATGTGAGGAGTTGGCAGAACCATAGAGTCACAGAAGCTGTGGGAGCCTGGAAGAGCATTTAATAGCCAGCCCCACCAGGAAGCCCTGGGGCGGGTGGGGTGAAGTGACTGGCCCGAGGCCTCTGGTGGGCTGGCGATAGCGCTGAGCCTGACCTGCTAAGTGCTGTCCAGGACAGGGCCCCACAGCTGTCAGAACACGAACCAGGCCACCAGACCTGGAGGACCAGCCAGCCCCCTTCTGCCAGTGACAGGGTTTGATGAGGCTAGACTCCTGAAGAGCCACTCACCCCTCTTCCCACATACTCACCCTTCCCCCTCGGGTGTCCAAAGAGCACATCTCAGGCTATGAAGGGTATAATAAAATTATTTTTATTGCATTTTGTGCAGACAGGAGTCTAAAAAATACAGTAAAAGCTGTAAAGCATTAAATGGGAGCATTCAACAATAAAGGAAAGAACCAACGCGCTCCTTTCCGTATTGGCACAGAGAACACAAGATCAATACTGAGGCAGAATGCGGAATACTAAAACACACTGAAAATTAAAGGCAGGCCTAATAATAGTAATAAATAATCTTGATTTGGTTTGCAACCTCTCCTATTTACAAGGGTTTTCAACTTCATTGCATTGCCCTGCACATAGATCGTCTAAAACAAAAGCAACGCTAGTTATCACTACAAGGCTATTGAAATATTGCACTCAGAATTAAAGTCACTTGAATGGACATGAAACATCTAGCTACAATGATGATAAAGATAATTTAATGAATGACTTGTGATAACATTCATAACAAATATTGCACATGTAGCACAGAAAACTTGGGTTTTATTGTGGGATGTTTGTTTTCATCAATGGAAACTTTGCTCTTGCCAACCAGACATTCTGGGTCCAGATAGTGCAACTTTGGTTCCCTAATTGGTGTTGATGCAGCCCCCTTCCCCTTCTGCCCAACCCACCACTTCAGCCTAGGTTGTTCCGGCCCCCAGAAGGCTAGGCCCAGCTGTGGTTCTCAGAGGGTGGTCTTTAGGAAGAGGCGGGGGGGGGGGCGTGGTGTCCTAATACCTCCAACTTCCTAAAGAGTCTCTCTGGCCCCCTCATCAGATCTCAGAGGGCTTGGCCTAACAGGCAGATATCCAGACCTACCTCCAGCCACACCTGACCCAGTCTATAGATGGCAACAGCTCCAGCTCCCTGCCTTGGGCTCAAAGGGAAGGAGGTGGTGAGGTCAGGAGTAGTACCCAGTACCCCAAGCTCTGGGAGGTGGACAGGATGTCTAGGTGCGAATGTCAGGGCCCTGGGGCTGGAGGTACTGAACCCAGTCCCAGAGGGCACTGGAACGAGCATGCAGTGCCTGTCCCCCTTAGTAACGCGCCCTGGGGGAAGGGAACCCGCCCGATGCGCCTTCTCTAGGGATAGAGGGCGCCTCTGACCGGGCTGCTTGGAGCAAAAGCGCCAAGGATTGGAGCTGGAGAAGCCAAAGATCTTGGGTCCTAGTTGGAGAAGGGCAAAGAGACGCTAAGAACAAAAGCACGTGGCGACTCCAGCCCTCCCCCAGGCCCAGGTGCCTGGGAGACGCAGCTAGAGGCCGCTGCTAGGCAGCGAGGCCGGGCCCCGGGACACGGAGAAGGCGGCTGGGTCCCGGCGGCCGGAGCCTCCAGCTGCCGGATGGGGACAGGAGAGGGAACATCAGGGGCAGAGCTGGAGCCTCCCCGGTGGGTCTGGCCCCTAAACCCGAATCGCCCCCCTCCTCCCTCGCCTGTCCCAGGGACGCAACTCCGGGGAGGGGAAGCCCTCCAGCTCCCCAGTTTCAGTCTTTGGCGACGAGCCATGGGATAGGGGGAGCAGGCGACAAGCCGACGAGGAGGGACGCCGGCTCCCCCTGCGAAGGCACGGGGGCGGGGCTTCCTCGGTCTCTCCCCACCCCCGAGGAGCCCCTCCCCTGCCCTAGCGCCTGCTCGCCGGGAGCCGAGAAGAGGCCGCGCGCTTCCCCGCAGCCGCTGGGAGGCGGATCCAGGAAAAGCCGGACACTGGTCTCACCCCATCTCCGAAAAGAACTCGCGGGAAGGGTCGGAAGCGCAGGGGCGCGCGGGAAGGGCGAGGAGGCGAGAGCGGGGCGGGGGTGCCGAGGGGCCAGGACCACGACTCCCGCCTGGGCCGAAAGCACTTTTGCTCCCAAACTCGCGGACGTCCAGGAAAACCCAGCCTCCCGAGGCCGCCGCCTGCCCCGGGCGCCCCCAGCGGGAGAGCTCGACAGCGGCGAGCAGAGAAGTCCGTTGCGCTTCTAGTCACAGAAATATGGGGACGTTAAAAATACACGCGATGTCTCCTGTACACTATGTATAGGCGCGGCCCCGCGCGGAGGGGCGGCGGATCCGGCCG